GGCAGACTCTGAACTTCGACATATGATAAATGTGCAGTCTGAAACACACCCTTCCATATATTTGCACCAGTTTCACCTTCACCGTCCTCTGAGCCTTCTGCCGAGCGCTTTCGCTAGAAACAGTTCCTTAGCTTTCCTTTCTGAAGGCATTCGCAAACCACGCACAAATCATCGCAGCTGTGACTTCTCAATGCGGAGAAGCAAAAGCTGTACAACAAAGCTGTCAGTATTTCAACCATGTCGAGATGTGTAAGGCCTGCAACTCGTCTCAGAAAGCCCATTTCTGCAGCCTCTAAAGGGGTTCCATGCTTTTCAGTCATGGTCCATGATTCATGACCATAGATACGCATGGAGACAAAGATCGACTTGAACACAGAAAGCTACGTTTTATGATTGAGCTTTGCACTAGTCACAACGGAGATGGCTAATTAAAACAGAACGCCACTGGCTACCCGAATTAGCCGCTCAGTCTCGTTCTCCAATCTTCGATCAGTAGTAAATGCAATTCCGAAGTACTTGAACTTCTCCACCTCCTCCACTGGCTCTCCGTTAATCAAGAGAGAGACCAACGGGCAGGAGAACGAGAGAGCATAAGGCTTTTTATTTTAAATGTGTTCGCACGCATGACGGTCACGTCGCACTCGGCTGCGAAGTATTGTGGAGAGCACTGAAAACCAGTTTCAGAAGAGAGTAATAAAACAAGGTCGTCTGCAAACAGCAACCTTCCCATCGTTACATCTCCTACACCGATACATTCATCGCCTTGACTGTCCCTGACTATTCTATCCGTTTACATCAAAAACAGGGGAGGAGACGCAACCTTAGCAGAGACCAGTGCCAACGTTTCATGATTTCCACTTAACGCCGTTTACTCTAACGCAGTACCTACTATCAGAGTGCAGTGAATGGATGGCCCTTAGCAGCTGACCATATGCCCCGTATGCTTGAAGGCATGACCACAGATCGTTGTGTGAAATCCGGTCATAGGCCTTTTCTCGGTCAAAAAATTATCTGTACCCCGGATGGGCGTACTGCCATGATTTATCAACAATCTGGCGCAGAGCAGATATGCTGTCAGAGGTGCTTCGACCGGGCCAGATGCCACGTTGGTCTTCTTCTGTCTTGAGGTCATTCATTTAGCGGCGCCTCCTTTCTAGCATCTTTGGGTGGAGTTTACCTGGGATGGTTAATAATGTAATGCATTTATGACCGGACCTTTCCTTGTGGTCTCCCTTATTGAATACGGGTAAAATATCTCCCGTTCTCAAATCCGCTGGTGCCTTTCCCGCAATCATCGCAATTTGAAAGAGACGCGTAAGTCAGCTCATGCCTTGTTTCCTAATGGCTTGATCATTTTAGGGCGGATATCATGAATTTCAGCAGCCTTTCTATTTTTCAAGCTTTTTACCGCATGTGTAATTTATCTACAAAGAGAATAATATCCATTCCCTGCTGCTCTATAGGCGAGTCTTACTGCAGTTGCGCGGAGTTAAGGAGTTCCTCAAAGTACTCCCACCATCGCCGAAGAATGTCATCATGTTTGGTAAGAAGGTGTCCAGACCTGACCTTCGAGATTCTGAGACTGCGAGTCTTCTCACCTCGGAGCCGGCAGATGTTCTACCAGAATGCTTCGCTTGCCTTTTGGAAATTCGCCTAAAACACCTTACCGTCTCAGCTGACGACGGCATTGTCTCTCGCCACTGCTGTCGCTGCCGCTTGGTGCACCTAGACATTTCGCTTGCGAGTAGATGGCTCTTTGTTTCCATGCCATTTATTGAACGCTGCTTTCTTCTCTTTAACTGCTAGTACCTCTCATGTCCACCAGGAAGTTCTTTTCTGACTTGCAGGCGCCAGGCCAACCCGTTTAGGTCTGCAGCATTTTGCGGCAGCCTCGAGTATGCCGTTCTAGACGAGCTGCCACTCAGTTTGCATTTCAGCTATCATTACCAGGATCTGCTCAAAACGTCGTGCAGTGGTGTATTCAAATTTTGCTCTCGTGTCCTCCGAAGGAAATGTTTCCCATTTTTATTCTCTGGTTGCTTCTGCCACCAGATCTTTGCGTTGCAGTCTATTTCTTACACCGGTGTGTGCCAACATCTAGGCGGTGATCGGTTGATAGCGCTGCGCCTGTCTAACGCGAACATGCATCACTGAACGTCTTAAATCGGACGATACAACTAGCATATGGGCCATAAAGTCTTGTCTACAAGCTTCCCGGCAGCAGGTAAGCTAATGCGCTCTTCGATGCTCGAAGAAGGTGTTCATAATGGACAATTCGTTGTTTGTACAAAACTGCAACAGGATCATGCCGTTGTTGTTGAGGTCTCTAGGGCCATTTTTTCCAATCACGCCGTTCCACTTTTCAGTGTCTATTCCGACATGCATATTAAAATCGTCCATGTACGTGAGGGACTCTGCATTCGGCACTTCGGATAGAGCACACTGCGTTTCTTCAAGGAAAGTATCACGTTCTTCCTCCAAATTTGGCGCTGGACCTGTACCAAGATCAGCGCTTTAGAATGGTGCATTTTTGGTCGATGGATTACTACCCGTCCGTTGACAGGCTTCCAATCAATGATTCTATCCGCGAGTTTGGTTTCTACCAGAACCGAACACCGGCCTGAGCGCAAGTCGAGATATCGACGCCTGGGTAAAAGAGCTTCCATTCTCTGAGGTTCAGGAGTCCAGAGCCTTGGCGCCTCGTTGTCGAGAGTCCCACGATGTCGAGTTGGTAGTTTATGGCCTCATCGAACGACTCTTGTTCCTTCCCTCTGAGTGAGGACATGTTACAAATTCTGACGTTACGCTCCCACTGGCGGTGTCGCTATCGTGGATCCTTTTTTAACGTGCTCTAATGGCATCGCGGTGTCTGCCTGCTCCGTTCATAAAGGGTAGCGGCTCTGTTGCTGAGTGGTATCTTGGTCGTCGTTTCGTCGGTGTTGGTCAGCAGTTGTTGTGCTGCTACCCCTCTCCTAGCTGGCAGAGAAGAATGAGCAGGTTCTGATCGCCGACTTTTCGCAGTCTGCCTCAGTCCTTATACAGCCTGCGCGGCCGTGGTTTAACCTAACGACGACCTAGCCGGTGTAGTTTTCGATGGCGTAAATACCATGAGTGGCAGATGGCGAAATTTTACGGAGATTTCGTTACGGTTTCGAATCTTCGTCATTTCTTAACCTGGCTTGGTTCCGTCAGCGCGGATTTATATCCGATTCTCTTTCAATTACAGATAAATTCGACCTCGAATGATGGGAACCTGTGCGCGTGTTGCATTGTTCCACATAATCTTGTTACAGCAAAATTTTCAAGTTTGTGCCGTTTTCATCACAAATTCTCAATGATATGACATTCAGAAATGTGAAGAAAAGCGAAGGTGCGTGTTTTTGGGTTCAGAAGCAACAGCGGTTGATACATGTCGTAAGAAATTGGTCATGGATAGAAGAAAAATGCTAAATCTGTAGTTGTAGGTGAGTTCTAAATCGAGTTTTTTGTTTCATATATTAGCGGTTAAAATTTATTTTTCGTTTTAATTTTACGTAAATCAGATTGTTCCTCATGATGGTTCATACGAAATTTAAATTTTAGCGTTAGTACCTGCAAATATATGAACCAGGGTACAGTAAAATTCAATCTTCCGCGATGGTTGCTCTGTTGAAATTACGCATTTCCTTAAACATAATTTAAATCACGGATTGCTTGAAATTTATACCGTTATTCAATTGTAATGATCGTTTTGAAACTGTTAGGGATGAGTATCTTCCTGTAATTGGGAGGTATAATTAGTGCGAGGTATATCCTGCTTTTTCAATCATAGAGAGATTCTCTGAAATTGTTTATGATTCGGTATGACTGGGTGAATGGTTTTACTTCTCTGTGCTGATTGCCGATGCGCAGATTTTATCGTTTTGTCATTGCCATTTGTGCTTCTTTGCTGGACCGATTATTAGTCAAAGATATACTGGTTCCGACATCTGGGTAGTTCGACCAGTCTCATTGATGGTGAACCAGTTCAACCCCTTTTCGTCATACTTCAACCGCGCAGTCTAATAGCGATGAGAGTTTATCACTTAAAGAAGATATCTACACATAACATGTCTTGTGCGAACGTGTTAATGTGCTTACTCTGTTTTCCTACTCTGAATTCAAGAGGGACTGTTACCCGTGACTTCGTTGGATGAGTCATCGTCGTTTGCAGTGTAACAGTTTATCGTCGCTGCTGACCAGCCGATGTTGTTCTCCTTCCATGGTTCTTGTCATTGAGGCATAGTGTTTTTGTTGCAAAGCCTACTCTGCAACTGAAAATTTTTAAGGTAATTTGAAACCATAATTGGGAAGATGGAACTCATTTTCGCGACTTCGAACATGTTTCAATTATATTTGTTCACTTTCGAAACCTATATTGTTGTTTCTTTGTGCACTGAATATTTTTAGAAATGTCAACCGATTATGTCAAGGTCAAAGCGAGCAAATTGAAGCTTAAAGGTCAGAAAATGTAAGGTGGAGTTTTTTTGTGAATGACAATCAGAAATACCCTCTCTGAAACAGAAATGCTTTTATTTTTTTCGTTTCTAAAGAAAATGTTAATTAATAACAATTTTCAACAAAGTCTTCCATGATTCCAAAATTAAATAAAAGTTTTTTGAGGGGATTGATAATTCTAGAATTAGAGGTTAGATTAGCTTTGAGGGTGGTAAGTTGATCCTGAGTTGATTGAGAGAATATATTATCAACTCAAATAAAGTACAGGTATCACTTCTCGATTCGACTGCTTTAAGGTCAGGTTTATTGATATCTGCTGAAAGTCACTAAAGTTTGTGCATAAAATCAAGTTACTCATCAAAGGCACAAAATAACTCACTTTTATTTGACTTTTAGCAAAAATAAACCCTGTTCTTTTAGGTTTGCTAGGAAATGACTACCCTTCAACTAATCTTTTAACTTCTCAATTTTTTCCTATTCTCCTTTCAATTCCTGTTGCTTGTATGCATAGCATGGTTTTCATTTTGTTTAGCATCTCTGGCGTCAAAAAACGGAAGACGATTCGTAAAGACACTAAAGACATTGACGAAGATGAAATTGCTCATGGTTAGAACGGTTTATTTTCGTTATTTCATCCACTCTTCTCAATTTAGGCGGATGGTGGTGCATAAAAAATGAAGCGGATCTCAAAGGCGGAAGTTTTGCAATCGAAGCATCGGCAAACTGCTACGTAATGGCTTTGGACAATGGCCGTTTCACTCTTGGAGTGCCTCACAAGGCAGGTATGAAGTCCCTGTTCGATGATTTTAAGCAAGTAGATTCTAAACAGTGTTAAATAGCATATTTTAGAAGTTTATTTCACACTCTAGAAATTAGATATTTTTGACATTTTTATTGATCGATAGTTAACTTTTAATGTGTTAGATATTTCTGACTTAGGAATTCTGAGCTGGCTGTTAGGCGCCACCGTAAGCATATGCTGGTACCAGGTAGATCTGCAGACTGTTTATTCTCCAAACGTGGACGTGAAAGAAGCTGTTTATTGCTTGAATAAAGCTTCAAAAATTTTCATTTATTAGCAGAGGAACAGAAATAGTAGATAAAGATATTGCACAGTCGAAGATAGGAGCTCAAACTTTGAGCAAGATCGAGAGAGTGATATGGTCTGGGTCATGTTTAACAGTGCCTAGCAATTTAGCAGTTCTCTGGTCCGTGAAATTATGAGAATTACTTGAGAGCAGTATAAGAGTTACGCGTGATCTTCAACATCTTTCGCTGATGGTTATTTCACATAACCGTCGATTTCTTCATAACTTTGAATTGTTATGCCGATTTTTTGATCTTTGACGTGTCGGTTTTGCTCGTAAGAGGTTTAGTGAAACCTCAGGAAGAATTCAGGCCATATTTATCAATTAACATAAATGGATTGCATGCACTTTGGTTCACGTATCGTTTCAAGAAAGTTGATATTTCAGGATGCTTGTCGAAGTGCCAAATCTCGTTTATAAAGTGGCATGGGTTTCTTGAAATGTTTAACTGGATATTTTCTGTTGCGTTGTTTACCTGTAATGTATTATGATTTACTTCATAATTAGTAATTTTCAAGGAGAAGGGCCATCACCTGAAGAGCAATTTGTCGTTATCAAGCCCCCGGACGCTCAGTGGATCAATCTGAAATCTGGCTATGGAAAATATATTGGGGTTGATTCGAAAGGCGTCGTTGCTGCGTATTTGGATGCTGCTGGTGCCCACGAAAGGTGGGAAGTCGTGTTTCAGGACGTAGGCAATAATACTTAAAATGTGGTGTATGTATTTTTCGTCTTTCAGCAGCAAACCGCTCTTCTCGGAAGCAACGGTTGTTTTCTCAGCATGGAATCTGATGCTGAGGGCTATCTAGTTGCCACCAACAGGATGGCTGAAGAAAACGAAATCATCAAAGTGAGTGTTTTGTTTTGGTCTTTCAGTCCATTCTTCGACTCTAGGTGGTTCTTGCATGAACTTTTAAGGAGGTTTGAGAAGTAAACGACACCAGTTCTATTTGTGGATACACATAGTGTAGAGTGTATTTACATAAATGTACCTAAAAGGGTACGACATGAATTCAGCTCCTCCTGAATAATAAAATTTCGTTGACAAAAGAAAAAGAAAAATTTGCCAAGATTAAAAACGGCTCAGTGTGAAAGTCTCATTTTACGTGTTACTCAGCTGAAGTTGTTGAGTTGTAAAAATATAAGCGGTGTTATTGAATTAGAACAACGGTTATAAGATTACTTGTTACCATGTTCTCTTCGGCATCACAGCTTCAGATAAACTACGATACACAATTAAAAATGGATGCACACCCACTGCTGTAGCGCCAAACTCGACAGCGCGGCGCGTGCAAAGAAGCATGACATTTTTTTAAACATAAACGGTTATATGCTCCAAAACAACAATGAGATTACAGGTTTTCTCTGGATCCTTAATTCCGTTATTTTACAGTTCCTTCATGCCGATGTTTTGAACAGTGAGATAGGCTGTTAGAGATGATGTCATTTACTCTTGTTATCAGTGCCAGTCTTCGTGTCTCTGTCAATGCGATAAGTTACTGTATTAATTTTGATTAGTTTTGATTGTGGTCATAAGAGTGAGGAAATTTTTACCTTCTGTAAACTGCAATGCTTTTAAAATTTATCGAATCTAATTCTGTTTAATTAGCTAAGGACAAACAACATAAAGGCTAACGAAGTTGATGTTCCAACGATCGAAGGCAGTTCCAAAGAATGCGAAATGGCCTACGTGTAGGTTTCTGTAAATTTTATTTTAAGACTGTATTCTCAAAAGGTTAATATGTAGGAAGCTTTATCAGCATTCAAAAGTCAGATTGAACCCAGAAGATAAAACCTATGTTAAAAAGGCGAAGGGAGAAGGAAATCTGCATGAAGTATTGTTGGACAGGTAAAATGTCATGAAAGTGATCTTTATACACAAATATTTTTTTAGACGAGAAAAAATGAAGGCGGACCGATATTGCAAATGATGAAATAGTCTGTACATTAATGTTTCAAAAATATAAATATTATTAAAAGTGTGAATTATTTGTTTTGTTAATTTTCGTTTTTCTTGTACAAATCATCCCGTATGCTTTGAGATTTTGCATTAGATGTAAATGCACAACTTTGCGTGAGTTTGGAGGTTATATTCTATTTAAGAAAAGTATTAAAACGAAATAATGCATACTTCAGATTTGAATTACGTCTCATGTATTGTGTACATGTGCAGTGATTAAAGTGACATTAGAATAAGCAACAATAGCGAAGGTTTCAGAGAAACTTCCATTTACGAATTACGTATGGGAACGCAAACAAATCAGGGTGCCCAAAGTGGGATTCGGTACCCTTGAAGTAGCTCT